TAAAATACTCTGTGTTCTGGCTGAAAGGATAAAAATCTAACTTTTTTAAAATTTCTCAGTAGTATGATAATGTTCCACCCTAGACCTACTGTTGCTCTGTTCCTTTCTTCCAGTTTGTTTTTTCAACTATTGTACTAGGTAACACAGGGCCCTATGCTTAGCTTAATAGCAGTATAATCTTTCCTTTTAACTTTTTCCTTTGTTAAAAATGTCTTTTTACACTAGAAAACCACACTGATCCAGGCTTTAGTGTTTGCCTCATGAAGTTTCTTGTCTTCTCATTCACTCTTTTATTGATGGATATAAAGTTACCTTTCCTAGATTATTTGTCTTCAGTTCTGGTAAAGATTTGCTTAATTTCCTGGCACAATATATGATGTAAGCTCTGAACTGAGCTGTTGGTTGACTCATAGGCAGTCTTCTATTCCCTCTTTCACAAAGTATGTTCAAACTGGAGTTCCTATTGCTATTGCCTTGACCTCAGAGCAACTGGCAAATACTTAAGTCCTGATGCTGGATAGTTAGATATTTTATTTTTGAAATGTTAACTGCTTTCAGGCTACTGTGCTGAAAGGTGGCTTTCTGACTAAACTGGATTTGAGCACTACCTTGATTCCAGAAGATCTTTCAGAAACAGAAGTCTCACACTGCTATTTTTCTGTAGGTCTGTGTTCACGTTTAGAATGTGGGCTGCATTCTGCCCAGCATCAGAGTGATGCAAAAATCACACAAATCGGCAGGAAGTTCTAGAGGAACAGAGTTTCCTGGCACACAAGGGAATATGTCCACTGTTTCCCGCTTAAAAGGGTGTAGTGTATGCTCACCCACTTTGTGACAAGTTGGCTCTGCTGCTCCTTCTTCTCAAGCCTTCCCTTCCCACTTTGAGGTGGCTTGCAATTCCAGACTCACATGATCCCTACACTCATGAGTGCAAGAACCATGATTACGCTCAACTTCCATGAGGGGGCATAAGCTCTTTTCACCCACCCATCCATTCTTGTCAATCCATTCACAGTTAGGAATCTCAGGATACCATCTAGTCCTACATTTTTCAGATATCTATTTAGACGATAATCTAACAAAGTAATCCTACAGACTTTTTAGAATTCAATCCGACTTTATGTACTGCAGATGCATAATGTTGCAATTTGAGCATAGCCTGGGGAACCACAGTAGAATACTATCAGGGTGCTCTAACTTGCACTGGAGACTGGTCTGGCACCAGGACAGGGCCAGACAATAGGATTCAGCCCTAGAGACTTTTATTATAGGACTCTGGCAACACCTGTTTTAGTTTGGAACATCATGACATAGTTAAATATACTGGACTGAACACTAGTCTTCTGCCCCCTAAATTTCCAACTGAGAGACTAAATCTCATCAATTTCCGAGCAGTTAAGGGTTATTGTCACTAGTGTCAGTGCTGTAATACAGAACTGATGTAATATAATTTTATTATATAGTAATTACCACTTCTACTATTTATTTATTGTTAACTATCAACAATATGCTCTGTGTCTACATAATACCTGTGTATAGAATAAGCCACTCATCAGTATTCAGAAAACCTAGAATACCTAGCCACATCTTCTAATTTTTCTGGTATTATATGCTAAAAATTGTTAATTTAGTAAACACTTCTTCTTTTGTATGGCTGGTGTAGAGCACCAACTACAATTTCACCTGAAGCTGATTGAGCCAAAAGGCTACATCAGGAGTAGCAGAATTTATTGCAGCAATGCCTCCTTCATATTTATAAATTGGGCAGTAGGTGGTGATATGTTCGATGGTCTGTCATGGGGAATCACACTTGCACACCAGGGAGTCCTTGATTTTCCATTTGTGCATTAGATATCCGCATCTACCATGGTTGGTTAGAATTCGGTTCAGTGTTGACCAAGATGACCGTGGAAGGGATCTGGCACAAAGTGCTTATTTTTTAAGTCTTGTGTAGCCCAATTTGCTTTCCAAGCCTCCTTCTGATCATAGCCTGATTGCATGAGACTTAACGAATGTTCCCAGAAAGGCTTGCAGGACCCAAGATGTTGTGGGGGGTGGGGGTGGCGTTGTCAAGGTCTTGGTGAATAGGAAGACATCTGTTTTCCTGGATTCACTGAGCTTTGTGGAATGTTGCAGCAGTTCGTGATATTGGCGGGGGAGCGATGTTAGACAGGATAGGTAGCCATGGTGTTGGAGTCGACTTAAGGGTTCCCATGATGCACCACATCACTGTATTTAGCTGGGTAGCCACGAGACGTGTGTAGTTGCATCTGCTCCATACCAGTGAACAATATTCAGCTACTGAACATACAAGTGTTATTGCAGATGTTGGCAACACTGATGCAACCCAGGTTATACATGCTAGTTTCTGGATTATGTTGGCTCTCGTTTTTATCTTTGCAGCTATCTTCTCAAGATGACTACGGAAGGAGAGGGTGCGGTCAAGCTTCATTCTGAGATATGTTAGAGTGTAATCGTGTAGAGTGGAAGATGGCAGCCTTCACGGAGCCCACTCTGTTAAGTGAGAATTCACAACGAATGCCATCAACTTGGCGACCGAACATCGCTCAGTGATCTCCCAGTTATCAGAGCAGCAAGTAAACACTAAAAATGATTTATTTGTTTCTCCTCAGTGAGGACTAGTCAAGTGCATGGGGTGTATTTTTTGTAAATACTTGCTATGAATACCTGAGCCATTGAAAACGCTGTCAACATTCTAGAAGAATTTATAAAACTTCACAGGCTTCCCAACAAAAATGCTGTACTCCACCAGGAGTAGAATGACCGTCCAGGAATAGGATTCCTGCAGAGTTTATAAGTTCTTCAGACACAAGAGATATAAAAATAAAGAAGATAAACAAGAAAACAGGTGAAACGAGAAAAATCAGATTAAAAGAAGAGAAGCCACAGGAGCTAATGAGGGCCTGAGGCTGGTGAGTCCAATGAAGCAACAACAACAACAACAAAAATTATAGTTAGTTCAAGTCAAAAATAAAAGGAAATTTTCAGGTGAAAAATCAGGGGATTGTTGAGTTTGTGCTGTGGTACAGCTGAACCAGATGACTGAAGGCACTATGATTTATCAGTGTTTCAAGGAGAGCCAGGCACATGCCCACCCTGCTATTGGCTGATAATCAGGCTTTAACTATGAGTTTCCTGGCAGCCACACACAGGAAGCAGAGATCCAAGAGTGCTAATCTGTCATAATACTTACTCTAATTATTAAGAAATGGAAGTCAACAACAGTACCCTCTATCCCAGAGCATTTTTGATGTGCCATTGATGGAGATGCTTAGTAATGGTCATCACTGATAAAATCACATGGAAAATGGGAACAATTTGTTGATTATTATTAGCAGTACAAGGCAATTAATATCAGAAGTTCAGAGTACAAGCAAGGGGGAAAAGACAATGTGGTTAAGTAGAACCTGCATAACTAGCAGCTGACTAATAATTTTGTTCACAAAAAGTACCCAAAAGTCTGAGTTGGCTGTCTTTTCTAGTTGCTATTTGACTTACTTAGATTATATGTATTTATATATTACTTACCATAACAAACTACGGAAATACAACCTAAAGGGAGTTACTATAAGGTGAGTGCATAGCTGGTTGGAAAACCATTCCCAGAGAGTAGTTATCAGTGGTTCACAGCCAACTGGAAGGGCATATCAAGTAGGGTCCTGCTCTGTTCAGTATCTTCATCAGTGATTTAGATAATGGCAGAGAGTACACTTATAAAGTTTGCAGATGATACCAAGCTGGGAGGGGCTGTCTTGGAGGATAGGTTTAAAATGATCTGGACAAATTGGAGAAATGGTCTGAAGTAAATAGGATGAAATTCAATCAGGACAAATGCAAAGTACTCCAGATTTGAGGGCTGGAACACACCCTAATCTCATGTGTCACTTTTTATACCACCTCTGAAAAGTTTTCCAGGCCCTAATGTACATTTGAGATCAACGGTTTATATGGAAGGCCTCAGTCTGGGCAAACCAGGCTTCTCTAGAAGTTGGTTGAAGGAGCAACTACCAGGGCTACTACTGGGCAAACTAGTGATTTCATCAACAAACTACTGCAACTACTGGGCAAACCTGGCCCAGCAGAGCAGGAACATTCTCTTTCCCCTCCTTATCCTTAGAGGGGTCTGCAATGATGCTCAGATAGCAAAGAAGAGATCTACAACAGGAATGGAGATATGAGATGCAGGTTGCCAGAATCATCTTCTCTATCTGTGTGAGCAGCCATCCTGATTCTTGGCTGAGGGAGCCTTAAACAGAAATTCCGGTGGACAGAGTAGATTATGGAAGGGACTGCAAAATTAAGCTTCAGTAGTGGTACAAACAATTTCATTTCTAAATAGTTTTCTATACTTACCTCTTCTACATTACAATCCTATTTTGAGTGCATGTTTGCACAATCATTCTTCCAGCTGGTGGTCTCCAAAACATTTCTGACTCCTTAACTCGTGTTAATTCATTGAGCTTGCATATCATTTTTAACTTCATTGCAACAAATTTCCTGGTCCCCAGCTTCCTAGATTTGACTATCAATGGGTTAATAATATATATGTCTACAGAGACAAGTGGCCAGATCACCACTCAGCTGGCGTACACTGGTGAAGCATCACTGAAGCCAATGAATATCTAGCCCAAGATACGCTGCCAATGGCAAAATTCCTTGTGAAATAAATGAAAACCCCTGAAAAAACTCTTTTCTCTCTTATGGACATTATATTGTACTGTAGCCTGATTTGGGTCACTGGAACCTAAAATGTTGGCCCCCTGCTAACCTCTTTGCCTATTGTGTGGAGATGCATATTTTGCATCTTATCACTGAAGTGGTTATAGCGCTGACTTTCTGTGTTAGGAACTGATCTGCAGTTCAAGAGGACAGTATACCAAGTATTGAATGGAAAGCTTACCACATCGACCCCTACGGAAAAGTTGCAGATGCACGTCTACAAAAAACACAAACAACAAAGTATACAGTTAAATACTTACTTTGCTTTGTATGGTGATTCAGAGGTGGCATTTTTTGCTTCCATTAAACTTTCATATTCTTTAGCCCTGAGGGAAAAATATTAATCAACATTGATTTTTCTTTAATTATTCAATGTTTGAAAACCAATTAGACAATTCTACTATGTGATTTATTCAGCTTCATGACACTGTACAAGTCACTGGGCATTTCTGAAAATCAATTTTATTGTAAGCCATTTTTGTCTTTTCATCAGCCATATTTGTTCCTAAAGAACAGCCAGTGACTTCGTATGATTATTGTTACTATAACTTCACCTGTTGTGTATTTAAGATATTTTAAGCTGATTTTCAAAATCATAACAAATGGAATACAAAACAATGGTTAGAGAAATATTATTTTTATCCTGAAAATATCATTGCAGATGAAAACATTACTAATTTTGACATGTCTAATGAATCAAAAGACAAATTTATCACAAGTGTTATAATTTACATTCAAATTGTCCATTACATTTGAGGGTCCAATTAAACCTTCTATGAAACACTAATGACAGTACTATAACAATGTATTTCATGAGACATACAACTCTAAAATAAATCTCTCTATGAATGTCTGCTTTACTTTGGGAAATGTAAGCAGGACTCAACAGCGTAAACCTGTTTAGACACTTAAAAGTATTCTTGTTTACATTGGCCACATGCCAAAGTAAAAGAAAATTTGAGACAATACTTCTTTACCACTGCTTAGTGTGGCTCCAGCTGGACTGGGCCAACAGGTGATAAACATCATCAGTTCATCAACCTAAGTCAGGATTCATTGCAGTGATTCATTAACATTTAAGATATTTGGTAAAACAAATTTAGACACTATGGTGATGCAGAAAATTTAAATTCTCACTTCTTACAGACAGAGCCCTATCGTAAAAGAAATATCCAACAGAGCAGCTAGAAAATTCAGCTTTGGACCAATTAGGAAAACTCTACATTGACTTCATATTCAGAAAGAAAATGATGGCATATGCAGAAACTAAGTGGAGAGATAGTGACGTTTGGGTTAGGTAAGGCTGCTGCTCAGGACTGTTGAGTTCTATTCCTAGCTCTGCAGCTGACTCAATCTCTGACAAAGGGCAAGTCATTCAGATTTTCAGAAAGGAAAATCCAGCCACTTTTTTAGGTGTCCAAATGGGAAATGAGTTATTTTGAACATAAGAATTGCATACTGGATCAGACCAGTGATCAGATCTGTAATCCTTCTCTGACAGTGATCATCATAAATTGCTTTAGAGGAAGGAGCTGAAACCCCACAGTAGGCAAATATAGGATAATCGGCTCCTCAATAAGATGTCATCCTAATTGCTAATAGTCATTCTTTGCTTTAAGCCTGAAGAATGAGGTTTTATCTTCCTTCCAAAACTATTTTAGGATAAACTATTATAACTCTGGATACCCCTATGAATGTCCAACTCTCCCTTGAATCATGCTAAAATACTGGCTTCAATGACAGTCAGTAGCAATGAGTTTCACAATCTAATTCCATATTGAGTGAAAAGTATTTCCTTTTGATCAGTTACAAATTGTTATCTTTCGATTTTATTGAATGTCCCCTTGTTCTTGTGTTATGAGACAGGGAGAACAGACATTCACAATCTACCTTCTCCATATTATTCAGCATTTTATATACTTTTATCATGTCCCCTTCTTTGTAAAGCAAATAATCCTAATCTTTTCCATTTCTCTTCATATGACATCTTTTTCATGCACCAATCATTCTCATCACCTTCTCTGAACTGTCCCCCTTCACCCACCAATTATGTAATATCTTTTTTGCAATGTGGCCACCAGTGCAGCACACAGGGTACCAGATGAGGGCATATCTTTGATATGATTGTAATATTTTCCATATTATTCTCCATTCCAATCCGTTCGGATCTTAACATTTTCTTTGCTTTTTTGACTGTATCTGCACAATGAGCAGAGGTCTTCATTGAACTGTCAGTAATGCCCATGTCTCTTTCTTGCGTAGACCTAGCTAATTTAGAACTCTGTAAGGTATATGAATAGTTCATTTTTCCCCTCCAGTGAGCACTACTTTGCATTTATCTACTATGAACTGCATTTGTCCATTCACCTTGCTTAGTTAAGTTCCTCTGAAGTTCTTCACAGTCTTCCCTGGATTTGACTAACCTAAACCACTTTGGGCAGTGGTTCTCAAACTAGGGCCGCCGCTTGTTCAGGGAAAGCCCCTGGCGGGTCGGGCCGGAAATGTTTACCTGCCGCGTCCGCAGGTTCGGCTGATCGCAGCTCCCACTGGCCGTGGTTTGCTGCTCCAGGCCAATGGGGGCTGCAGGAAGGGCGGCCAGCATGTCCCTCAGCCCGCACCGCTTCCTGCAGCCCCTACTGGCCTGGAGCGGTGAACCGCAGCCAGTGGGAGCTGCGATCGGCCGAACCTGCGGACGCGGCAGGTAAACAAATTGGCTCGGCCCCCCAGGGGGTTTCCCTGAACAAGCAGCAACCCAAGTTTGAGAACCACTGACTTAGGGTACGTCTACACAACAAAAAAAGACCTGCAGCAGTGAGTCTCAGTGCTCGGGTCAACTAACTTGGGCTCATGGGGCAAAAAATAGTAGTGTAGATGTTCGGGCTCGGACTCTGAAACCCAGTGAAGGGGAGGGTCTCAGAGCCTGGGCTCCAGCGCAAGCATCTACATTACAATTTTTAGCCTCGCAAACTTGAGTCAATTGACATGGGCTCTGAGACTCAGTGCCATGGTTTTTTTATTGTAGTGTAGATGTATCATTTGCATTACCTAAAAGTTTTTCTACCTCTTTATTCACCCCCCTTTTCCAGGTCATTAATAAATATATTAAACATGACTGGACTTAGTAAGAAACCTTGAGGCATCCCGCTATTAACCTTTTTCCATGATGAAAACTGACCATTTATTCTCACTTTTTGTTTCCTGTCTCTTATCCAGTACAAAGGCATTCTAACTTGGAGTATGGCCCAGAAAAGTAAACCAAAAATTATTCACCTAAAATACATCCCACAACAATTTTTTGTGAAAGGAAGGTTTTAAACAAATTGTAAATGAGAAATCACAAAACATATTCTTTCGTTAATTTCTTCAGGTGTATTATCAGAATTTACTATTTAGTTCTCACTGACAATCAATCTGACATGCAGACACTGAAGCATTCTTTTGATAGCATCACATACATATTAAACTGGGATAATTTACCTAGATATATATCAGCTGTTATTACAGCACCAGTTTAATGGCTTAGGGTTATAAATATTATTAATAGACCAACAAAACTTTTACACAGAACTAATAACCCATTGATCACAATTTGTCCTTTCATTCACCTTTGCTCTTAGTTGCTTTCATATTCTGATTTAAGATCTAGCATCTCATGAAAGCAACACAAACCTATTTTAGTGCAGTTACTAGCTTCGGCTCAAATTTAAAATCTTATAATTTTCTAACAACTGAAATACATTCATAATTGCCAAGTTTACAAACCTAGGGGGAGTTTCCCATGACCATTATGAAATAAGGTATATCGATGACTCAACTTAAGACTTCCTGGGAAATTCTAAATGAATGATTACTGTTCCATGCTCCTCACTTCCCACCCAGTCCCCCTTCCTTCCCAAATTAGTTAATAAGGCCTTTAAATCTACCGTCCAGATAAGTTCTGAGTTGGTTTTGAATAGTGACTCCCAACTGTTTGGTGGTCTTAGAATTGGATTGTTTCACAGAAATGTGGTAGACATCACATAACTCATTTCATAAAGTATTTCACAACACTGAGACTCCTGCTTCCTCCTGCTTTAATCATCTAGTCTAATAAAGCCCTCTTTTGTGTTCTGAATATGGGAAACCCTTCTCCCTCAGATCAACAATGAGATCTCATGAGAGTATCCAGGCAGTGTTTACCAATACTACAGTGACTTATTAAGGTGCCAACTGGTAAACCTAAAGGTAAAGCAATATCTGCACAGTTAAAATTAATTTGCCAAATGGAGTATATTCAAAGTATTTTACTAAGGCTTTGTTTTTGCTTTAAATTTTATGGGACAATCTTTGTTCTGTTATGCTACTGGACTGAACCACATATTATATTTTTGCTGAGCTTCTTATGGCTATATTTATGGTTAAATGTTCAATACTAACTCACAATTTTCTTTTCAGGGTTAATGACCTAAAATAACAGAAAATTATTTGGCTATTCCTTGAAACTAAAATATTAATTATCTTGCTTTTCATATTTTTCTAGATTTTGAAGCTTTCAGTGAACATTTCAATTAAATGAAATCTATAAAATAATACCACATTACTATTAGTGATGTAATTATAAATAATATTTTTAAAATATGCTGACTCATGTGACACACTAGAATTCAAGATGTACTGACAGAATATTTCAGTTATTGATGCGAACAACAAACAATTGGCTTGATCCTGTTTTCCTTACTTCGGCAAATTTTTCAGTGAATTCACTGGAACTTTTACTTGAGTAAGGAATGTACGATTGGACTCAGTGAGTACAGTAAATCGGCAATATGAACAACTCCCTACCCCTAATAATCAGAAATTCTGAAGGAAAGTAGACACTGTACTTTCAATACATGCATCTTGTAAAAGAGTAAACTCTAATTTGGTGATCATATATAAGATGCCAATGACAAAAAATCTATCACATAAAAGAGCAAAAGGGGAAAGAAAGAACTTGAGGCAACAAGATGATAAAAGACAGAATAAGTGTATCTGTGCAAGATTTAAGTTACCATTATTGCATCGTAGCAATGTTAATGAACTATTATTTTATTTAAACTATTGTTTTAATAAATCTATTCAAATAACTCTTTCTTATCACAATTAAAAATAAGAAAAAATACGTTAATGAATGCTTAGACTTTTTTAAAGGTAAATGCAAAGACTGTTTTAAAAAGGAAATCCAGATTATGATATTCTATTGAAGTTATGCTAACCTCAGTTGGGGACATTTCAGCTATAAGACAGACACCACAGTTCATGATATAATGATGCCCTGCATATCATTCTGATCTGGAGATGTTACTTTTTAGGCTAATGACAAACTACAGGTCTGACAACTCACTTTCCATTTTAAGATATTTCTAACTTTTTCTTGTTGTGACAGGCAACAAAATTGATTAAATCCAGCCATGGGATTTGACACTACAGCAGGATGGCTTCTATTTGTTGATTACTATTGATTTTCTTTGATACTTCATTTAAAAATCAATAGCTAAGAAGAAAAATAGGCATGGTTTACACATACTTAAACATACTATTGTATTCTGGAAGAGGCTACAGTTTTGGCAGGGCACTGGCATCCAATTATGAGAAAAGCTCTTAACAGGTGAAAGCAAGGGCTCCAGATCGATATTCAGTTTTCTTTCTCAATCAGAGAAAGTGGCTATAAATTAGGCTCATCAGTGTTATTTTCAAGACATTTCTGAAGCAAATAACTTTACACTTTTTTTCAGTGTTCAGTAGCATTCCTGTTAAAGGACAGAAGATTAAGTTTAGAGAAAAGCTAAAAGAATATTAGCATTACCTGGAGTTCATCCGTGCCTTTAGCTTCTTTGCCTTCTTTTTAGTTTTTTGCTTCTCCTCTCCATCTTTTAAAGGTTCTACTGGAACAGAGCTTTCAATCACAATATCAACAATGTACTTCTTCAGTGACAGGTGCTCCTGCAGAAGACATTGAAATAATATTTTAAAATAATGGTATTTCATTTTTATAGCATGTGAGGAAACTAAGATTCTGCATCAAAAGAACATCAATGATCAATATTTAACAAAAGGCTGAGAAAATGAAGAAACAAATGTTGATGTATAAACTTTTGTTTATATCTTTTCAATGTCACCTGTCCTTTTATAAACCAGTAATATGACAATATTTCTGGAAACACTTTCTGATAATTACAAACCCAAGACACACAGACACACCTTTTGGTCAGATCAAACTCAATGAACAAGTAAACATTAGCTCAAGAAAATAAGTTAAAAGCAATCAAAACACACAGTACTTAATTAAAATACAAAGCCATATATGATGTTGATGCTGCAAACACTTACAGCACTGACTTACCTGGTTGTAATTATTATATTATCTTCAACAGGACTCCTCACACACTTAAAATTAAGCACATGCTTCAGTGTTTACAGGATCAGGGCCTATATTCAGCAAAACCAGAATTTCTTTCTTTCTTTCTAGCTAACTAATAATGGTAATGGGACATTTCATGCATGAATGTTTCTATGAACCACTAAAAGAGAAGTTTGTTTTAAATTTCTTATAGCAACTAGTGATGTCTGGTTATACCAGTGTTTCCCAAACTTGGGACACCGCTTGTGTAGAGAAAGCCCCTGGCGGGCCTGGCCGGTTTGTTTACCTGCCGCGTCCGCAGGTTTGGCCGATCGTAGCTCCCGGGCCAATGGGTTCGCCGCTCCAGGCCAATAGGAGCTGCTGGAAGCGGCGTGGGCTGAGGGACATGCTGGCCGCCCTTCCTGCAGCCCCCATTGGCCTGGAACGGCAAACCGCGGCCAGTGGGAGCTGCGATTGGCCGAACCTGCGGACGCGGCAGGTAAACAAACCGGCCTGGTCTGCCAGGGGCTTTCCCTACACAAGCGGCATCCCAAGTTTGGGAAACACTGGGTTATACCATTCTCAATTAACCCAAAATGTTATATAATTAATTGTAATATGTAATTGGAAAGCCAATAATGACACAGCAAAAAACAAAATAAAGCAATAAAATATGTTGGTCGTAGCAAAATATTAGCCACTAAGAAAACACCCATAATGCATCTGTTATCGATATATATCACTAAAACAAACAATGGGTAATTTTGTAACCAATAAAAGATATTAACATTTCCACATACCTAAGGTGCATTTTGAGGGTAAGACAGAAGATTTAGGAACAGATTCAGCCATGGGATAATCACTGGGGTTCCCTGCATATCTTGTGGTGGCAGGGCCTGTAGTATTGGAAAATCTGCTTAGAATGGGGCAGCAATGGCACAGAAGTGCCCTACTCTGCCTATGATCCTAGCTAGTGTAGGTCCAAAACTTATCAGGATTGACCAGGATGGGGAATGTCCGGGCCAATCAGAGAATGTGCTGAATGCCTTATGCAGTTTCTGTAAGTGGGATTGTTCACAGATAGTTAAGTCTGCCCAGGGATCGCAGAGGTGCAAGCACTGCTAACCGTCTTCCACAGGTCACTGCCAGTGGGGTACAGCTGTCTCTTCTCCAGCAGGAATGAATGGTCTCTTAGGCCTTGGCTACACTGGCAATTCACAGCGCTGCACTTGCTGTGCTCAGGGGTGTGAAACCCCGCCCCCCTGAGCGCAGCGCTGTAAAGCGCCAGTGTAATCAACGCCTGCAGCGCTGCACGCTTGCTCGCAGCGCTGCAAGCTATTCCCCTCGGAGAGGTGGAGTACTTGCAGCGCTGCAAGAGAACTCTCGCAGCGCTGGCGGCGCGACTACACTCGCGCTTCACAGCGCTGCCAAGGCAGTGCTGTGAATCCGTGAGTGTAGCCAAGGCCTTAGTGTATTTAATCACTCAAAACATGAGTCATTCAGCCTAGGGCTTTCCTCTCTTCTCAATGTCACCTTTCCTTGGTCGTCTTCTTTCTGAATTTGATATGTCAAAAATTGGGTTTCTTCTCACCTCATCCCTTCCCAGAAATGTTAACCCATCAGCAAATTTTCCCAAGCCTTCTGTCCATTTTGAAGTACACTATAAAATCTTTTTGTTGTTTTCCATGGAAGATTTTCTTTTTGATCTCTCGTCTTTCTCTCCAACCTCATCTCTTTCTATTCTCCAATTTTTTCCCTTCATTTGCCTGATACTTGATTTCTTTTTGTCCCAACTTGTGTGTTCACAGTCAGTAGTAGATCCTTCTCCCATGCTGTTCCCCTCTTGCTTAATTGACTCTCTTCATAGCCCATCTCAATATGCATCTTTTCTCCCAGCCAACTACTCCTAACTCTTTCTCTAACAAAACAAATAAATCCTATTCCCTGGATTTCTAAGTTTTCCCAATGCTCAATCATGCACTCTGAAACTTAACCATTGAACCCCAGACCATTCTTGCTCTATCATGTGTACATATCCTTCCTGTATAATTCTAAGATAACCTAAAGACTTACTTGTATTTTTATGTCTAAACTATTACTGGCTGGGAAACATCTTATCATATTTGAGTATAAACATCAAATATTCAGGAAAAAAGTTTGGAAGGGATATAAACACTTCAGGACATAAGCCAATCACTAACTGATGGGGATTACAGAGAAATTTTCCTTAGGAGCAAGTTATTCCATTAGGCTCTGATCCAGTGAAGTAAATGGGAGTTCTTCCTTTGCCTTCAATGGGCTTTGGATTGGGCTCTGTCTATTTGCAGGGTTTTCTTGCACTTTCTTTGCAAGTATCTTGCATTGGCCACTGTCAGAGAGAATACTGAGTCAGATGGACCAGTGGTGTGATCTGATATTTCAATTCTTATGGTCCCACATTAAAATAATTCATGATTGCATATTCAATGAAGTTAGTATTTTCAATTAAATGTGTGGCATTTTTTTTTACTGAAAGCCTTTTAAAACTTTTTATAAATGTACATACTTAAAACGTTTGTTTGAAAATAAAATTGCAAATATAGGTACATATCAGAACAAGTCCAGTGAGAAAAACTAAAAACAAAACAAAAAAACAGTTTTCTACACACCATTTAATAAAATTAATCCCAACTCCAACATTTTTGGTGGAGGGAGAGCAAAATTATTCCAAAAAGATTAACTTATAATAAAAAAACAAACCAGCCTTTAAAGTCCCTCAAAAACATACCCTATAAATATAAAGGGGCCAATTATGGCTTTGCCACAAACTCCAGTTATGGGTGCTGTGTAGTTACACTGCTCCAGGAGCAGACCTGAAGCAGATTCTGAGTCACCATCTGCCTCACGGTTCTCCCTGCTTCAGAAGAGACATATGCTGTGCCAGCCCTAGAGCTGGTACAGTAAATGTCCTCAGTGCACTGACTGGCATGTTGAAAGGTGAAGCCAAGGTATGGGTGGAGGGGAGTAACGCTGTACCTTATGCTCATTTACTACCATTTGCATGTGCACAGGACAGATCTCAATAATTCATAACATTTCTACAGTTCCTGTTAAGCCCACGTTTAATTCAGCACTTCAAAACATCATTGGTGGCTATGGATAAAAGATGTACAGTATATCCTTCTTTCCCCCAACTCTGTCATTTTTTATGTTCATAAAATCTAGTTTAGTTCATTTTAGAGTTTTTGTGGCTCCATCTGAGTCCAGTTGCATTTAAGGGGCTCAAATCTTTGTTGTATTCTAACCTATGTACTTTCCTCCAGCAGCAAAAAGGATCCAGAAATGAAACTGAACCAACCACTGGAGAATTAATAGTTCTGGCATGGAGGGAACATAAGGGTATGTGTGTCCAGGAAAAAGGGGATGGGTAGTTATTTTGTCCAACAATTTAAAGAAACTGATACCAATGCAGATATGATCTCATCAAAGCTGATATCTTTCTTCTTCTCTGAATTAACTTTTCTGGCCACATAAGATCAAAGCTCTGGCCTACCAACATAATTCACTGTATTAAATGAAATAATTCATGCTAAGGTTTAAGATTTCAACACTTTATCAAATTATTCTGAACTTTGTTATTTTTGTTTAAATATGTGTGAGAAAATATTCACCATTTACAGTGTTACAATTTATTGGAAGGAATGTAATTTGTCTTTCATACTCAAATTTGCATTTCAGTGAAATAACATCAGTCACCCTGTAAGCTACAGTTTTCCTCCTAAGAGCAGCCTCATTGTGAGATAGCTCAGTTTTTATCAAATGTCATGCATGAAAAGTAAATATCATTATAACACATATTTTACTTAAAATAAACATTTTGCTTTTTTTGTTATTAAAGAAATCCACACAATCCAGAAGGTTCTTTTAATTGCTGTACAGAACATCTCATGAATAGTGTGGTCCAGGGCATGGGAATAATAGGCTGAGCATAGCAGTTCTGTTGCAGGTGTTCTCAGTTTTGTAAGAATTGCCCATTGAGCACCGAAAGCTTTCTTTGAAAACCATAGTGTGTGCACATACACATGATTTGCCACTTTCAAAAGGACATGTGGAAATCAATAAAAATTCAAACTGGATTTTCATGCATTAAGAAGGAAACCCCATCACACAGACACTTTGTCATTTATAAATACAACCTTTAATTTAAATGTCCATTGCTGAATAACACCATCTGAGATGATATCTTCTTTTGATTCTAACACAATGTCTTTGGGCTCGTCTACATGAGAAAATTGTACTGATTTAACCAAACTGGTTTAAAAACTGATTTAGTTAAATCAGTACAATGCCCTTGACTGGTCACTCTTATTTCAGTTGACGAGTGCCTTAAACTGGTTTAGCTTAAATTATAAGGAATTCTGCATTTATCTTGCATATATAATAAGGTCTTGTAGAAAAAAATAGTATTTGATCATGTAAATTAAAGCGTGCATCAAAATGCAGATGCACAAGGGGACCAAATTAAGGTTGTGCAGACAATCATAAACTATCATTTCCTAACTTTCAAAAATTTGGTTTTGCAACCAAAATGATCATTCTTTTAATGTAATTTTTTAATGTAATTTCCTAGGGGTTTTTTTTTAAAGAAAAGGTAAAAACATTCTATTATCAGCAACGTGACCCGATTATTTGTATAATTCTAGATCTACTTCTGCTTCCAAATGTGATTAAAATATATATTCATACACTCCAGAAGTCACTCAAAAGTATTTTTATTGCAACTAGTAGAAATCACCAATTCCCATATTGCATCTTACCTGTCTGGGCTGATTAAAGCAAAATTTAATTTGAGCTAATCAGTCCAAGGCAAGGAGGAACATGAAATTAACTAAATGAATCAATTTCAGTTTCTATACTATTTGTATTACATTTATTAATATAGTAATGCTTCTCTATTTTTTGTTTCTTGTATAGTACTATATGCATTTTGAAGGATAAAATAAATGAGAAACTGCTTACTCATTATTAAACCTTGAAAATTATCAGGGTCATAATCAGAAGATGCCTTGTCATTAAAAACTGAAATAAAAATAAATAAAATTTTAACTAATAAAAATAAAAACAACTAGGGGAAAAACATTCTGTGACTAATTCTATAGCAATACAGATAGTATTTTCCAGAAAACAACTGATCATATTTTCTCTTACTCATTCAAGAAAAATGTATGCCTGTTAAAAACTAAATAAATCTTTGTGACATTTCCTGGAAAAAGGCTGTTTAATTTTTGTAAAACATTACAGTACAATCTAGCCTTGCAAAATCAAAATAAGGCTTGAAGTTTCTATCTTAAATCATATGTATGCAAAGTGAATGTTAAACCAATATCATGAGTAAGAAATCAAGCACACCAACCTCAGGAAATTCTAAAAGGTAAGTAATGCAATGTTAAGTTGGTCATACTGCTCATCCTGTATATATTATGGTAGATACATTTAACAAAAGAAAAATTAATATATTTAAGGTTATAAATATTTTTCAGTGCTTTGTCATTCTTGATTATACAAGCAATAAGATTTCTGCCACTTCCCTACAGTATACTATTCCACTGACTAACAGGTCTCATTATTTGGGTGTTTCCCCTGATACTCAGCTTGAATATTTTTTTGCTAAATTTCACCCCATTAATTTTAGCTATACCCCTGTAAACATCCCTGAAAAGGGAAAAAACAGTGGCCTGCAACTCTGCTTCCCTGAGGATGTTCCGACAGGATTCTCCCTCTTGAGTCTCAGTTCCCTACCACAAGGGTGGCAAAACTCCTCAAACTCCTGATGACTCTTGGTCCTGAAGGGAAGCAGTAGAAGGGTGGAGCAGGAGTCAGTCCCCAGTGCTGTTTATCAATCTCTCACAACCACTGCCCTTCTAGTCAGTTCCTGACTGCTTGTGGTGAAAGGAAAGGTGACTTAAGATCCTTCAGCTTCTGCTAGAGCTCAGAAGGCGTAAGCATCATACACAGGGAGAAGCCAGCCATCAATGTTGAACCAACTCTGTGTGGCCCCAAGTCTCATCAATGCTTCTCTATGGCCCCCATGGCTTGATGGTGTCAATTTTTTTCATTTTAAGAAAATGAAGGACCTTACTTGGTATATTACTGTTTTGTCACATTAGACATGGAGACATCCAGTGCCTAGCACATTCTTGGGTGTCTGATTAATAAAATAACAGCAATGAGAATTATAACAATTTTAGTAGGATATCTCAACTTTTAAAACTGTTCATTAATATATTTTACTATCATAATTTTTTCTAATTACACCATCTCACACAAGTCACATAGTGGTAAGACAATTATATCTTCTGTAATTCAGGAGGTTTTAAAAAGTAATTGAAAGATTAAACTTTTCTAACCTATGACTCTACAGGTGTGGGACTGATTTGTGTGTTTATCAGATCTACAATCAATTTACTTGTACCAGTCAAAGTGACAGTAGGAGCAAAATGAAGCTAATTCTCTGCTTTGAAACAGACACCATATAAAATAAAAGAGCAGGCAATCTTCATTCAGATATAAAATGAGAGTAAACCAGCTATCCTCATGCCACTCAATGACAATTACAAACACTCCATCAGATTTCTGATAGGTGAGAATGATGAATGAGACAAAGCCTTGTATTGCCTTTGCAGGGTCTAATGTCTCTTTCCTGATCTAATCTATAGCTTAATAGATGACTCAAACAGAACTACAGAGTTCAACAAGCTTATTCATTTATCACCTTGTGAAGGCCAAAAAACGTCTTAGCTGTCAATAGCACAACATGGGATGGCTACAAAACACGCTGTACAAATAAACACAAGCACCTTAGCAGAGTATGTTTCTCAGAGTTCTCAACTTTCAATTGTGGCAGTTTGAATTAATATCAAACTTCATCCTTACAGCTCATTAAAATAAGACTAGAGTAATAACACCTTGTGTCACAAATAACTGTCACTTCTTGAAGGTACAGATCAAAGTGTAGGATTATCACACTAGGCAGATTTAGCACCTTTCAGGTGAGAAACATGTACAACTAATAGCTCAGATAGTATTGAATGACAATACTCTGTGAACCCAACAGCAGTAATGTCAAGCTTCAGAACAGTACAAGTATATTTTCTCTAAGGTCCTGCTAAGCTTGTAATATTTGTATTAAATAATGTAATTTTTAAAGTCCACATAACCACACTAAATCATACTAAATCTGCAATCCTGAAAACAATTAGGCATGTAACTTTAGTTGTATGAGTTTTCCATTGAAGTCAATGGGATGATAGAGAGATATACACCCCCCCCAATTTACTTGCTAAGTACTGCATAGGGCCCAATCTTTCAAACACCTATGCTTATCAGCATGTGTGTATATATATATATATGTAGGTGTTTGAAAGATTGGGCTCTACACAGTACAGTACTTAACAAGTAAATTGGTCTCATCTTCTTAAAGATTTTACTTTAGCAATCGATATTTACATTATGGAGTCCCACAGTTTGATCTCTAATCAAGACAATACATTGTAATTGTTTGGCATTTTATTTACTTCTTGCCAAAAACACTTCTTTAAGTAAACGTTAGATGTAATCAGAGATACTACTTACTTACCTAGCTATCTCACATGGTGTTGTGAGGATTAATATATGTTTTCTATAGCAATGCAAAGGTGTAAAGGACTACAGGGCTGATTCTGCAACTGAGAGATAATGAGTGCCCCAAGATCCTAGTGCATCAATAAATCTCCAGCCCTCTGTAGAATCAAGCCAGTATAAATTCTATGATTATGTTAAAAATATTTTCAAATGAAATCTTATGCTATTAAGATTGGTGTTCACATCTACTAAACCTTTGATGTTACTACCTGTTTTATAATTTTAATGTGACTGATCTGAATTCTCTCTGCACACATTCTCAAATGTACCAATGCTATCTGGAAACAAGGGCTATAAATAAGTAAAAATAATTACCATTTCCCATCCCGAACAAAAGACTGAAACATACTACAAACATTATGGTCAGGTTCTGCCATCCTTACACACACTGAGTAGTATCTTATTCTGCAAGTAATCCTATTGAAATCCATCAACTAACAGAGTAAGATACTATTCAATCTTTGCGCAGAATCTGGACCTCATGTAGCATCTGGTATGTACAATGCTATGATATTCAGCCATAAAATATGGAAACAGAGGAGAAATTCTGTGTTAACATATTTAATGGTTTATCATGTTCTGTTTTACTTTAAATCTGACCAATACATTTTTTTTGCTCTATATTCTTTTGTTAGTGTCTGTTCAACAACTCAATAGACTAGAAACACTCCTGTTTCTTTTATACAGTTTTACCAAAGTTGTGGTAGGAATATATGATTTTTAAAAATGTAAGGTATACTGCATCGCAAAGCATCTTCATTTGTAGGCCACTACTCTCAGTGCTCTTCAAGATCACATTACAAAATAGTTTTGATGTCTGTGCCCTGGGAATAAAAAGAAAGGCTTCAGCATGCTTATTATAATCACTGAATTCTTCATAAGAAGGACAAGATGAAAGTTTCCCTCACTTTCAGTCCTCTGGCCATTTTGGAAATTAATCACTCACAAACAGATGACAAAAATCACAGATTTTCACAAGAAGAAAAATCAAGAGATTTTAATGAAATTAAACACCGTTTTTTAAAATTAATCTGTTTTAAAATCTCTGGGCTTGATCCTGACTTCCTTACTTTGGCAACACTCAGTAAAGTCGATGGGTTGCGCAAGTGGCATAACTTGAGTGAGAAGTTGAGGACTGGTCTTATTATGGGAGAGGAAGATTGTTTTAAAACGTTAGAACTGATTTTTGTTGAAACAAACAAACAAACACACACACCATTACCTTTTTCATTTAAACAAATTAAAGAAAATATTAGTAAGTTTGGTATTTTTCCTTTTTAGGTATGTACTTATATAACTTTGCAATTTACACATTTAGCAATTTTGTAATTGTATTTGAGGTATTGTATTTTCATGTTTTAATTATCTAGGTCTTAAATTGCAAGGTTTAGATTTATCTGTTCAATTTTGTTGTGGCATTCTTTTCAGTTAATTTTCTTTTTTCTTTTCTTTTCTTTTTTTTTTTATAGTTGTGAGTACAAGTTATCTTCCCTCTTAGATTTTGAAGGTAACTAAAGAGGTGTCTACAAAAGGGATTTTTGCACAGAATTTTCCACTAATATCAACACTGATTCAGCAAAAGCTTTGGAAGCCACTGAACATTTGTCTACACTAGGGCTCCAATGGGAATT